TGGGCTACCAAAAATGGAAGAATGCCTGCCCGAAGGGCTACCAGAGATTTTGAAATTTTGCGAGCCCTGAACTGTAAACACAACACAGGTGTTTCATTCTCCACCCCCACCCCAAAAAAGAAAAAGATGCAGCATATTTCTGAGCATATTCAGCTGACTGGGTAACAATAAATTAGTTATTGGTTTCAAAGAGTACACTAAATTTCTTTGTGTTTTTAAATAGCCAACTTTATACTGCATCCATCAGCTGTCAGTTAGGAATTCAAAGTAAATGGACTGTGCACCCTCCCAGATGTAATAATGGTTTGTTTTTGTGCTCTGGCATGTTATGTTTTCTCACTCATAGGAAGCACAGTTCTCCAGACACCAATGTGCTGTTTATTTAGAATCATATTTAATGTGAGGAAATTAGGATAGAGAATGAGGGCCTTTGCTTCTTCTTCCCAGACCTTTTACTATCACAACTATTTTTGTGCAATTTATATGATAAACAAAATTCATAATCAGAATAAAACATCAGAATAGATTAATGTTCAAAAGGTACTGAACTATAGTCTAATAGGCTGACAGTTCTCTGCTTGTTTTTTAGCTCTGTCTTTCTTCCTCATCATGGGGCTGTCGGTATCAGCAAACTGCCCTGAAGGATTTTTAGGAAAGAAAAAAAACTGCACTGGTATGAAAATCTTTACAAAACAAAACATCAGACACGTAATCAGTAATGGAAAATGTGCAAGTTGGGCAATGTGTGCATTTGTATTTAAAACAAAATTAAACATATAACATGTATAATCTCTGAAATTTATTTTAAATAAAAAACAACAAATATGTGTTTTAAACCTTTTCCATCAAAAGTTTGAGTTTTTGGATTTTCAAGCTATTTTTATTTTTAAATCTATAACAAATCTGAAACAAATCGAAGCACATATTTATGCAAATACATCTTTTCACATTTCTGTGTCCTTACAAAGACATAAACGAATGTCAAGATGACAAGCCATGTGGAGAAAATACAGTCTGCACAAACACAAATGGGAGCTACTACTGCCAATGTAAAGATGGTTTCAGAAACCCAACAGGGAAGGTGAATTTTACAGTTGGTGCATGCAAAGGTAAGTCATCTCAAATTTATTGCGACAACAACTCTGTGGTTGGTTTGGAGAAAGTTTATGTCATACAGTCATAATGTATGTAAAGATTAAAGGTCTCTTCTTTTTTTTTAAGATATTCAAGAATGTTTGGAAATCAAAGACATCTGTGGATCTAACGCCAAATGTAAGAATGCAGTCCCCTATTACTCGTGCACCTGTGATGATGGATTCATTTCTACTACTGGGAATAAAACCTTTCATCATGATCAAAATGCTACATGTGAAGGTAAAATGTTGTTCTCATTGGTGCAGCCATTTTATAGTGATCTCTTCAGTTTAAGGTGATGGCAGAGGATTTTTTTTCAGAGGTATTCTTACATGTCTTCTTCCTGCTGCTCTAGATATTAACGAATGTCAAAAAGGAAATCCCTGTGGTCAGAGTGCATCATGTTACAACACACAAGGCAGTTATTACTGC